AGAGAGACAATCTTTCAAAGAGTTTTGCTTTAAAGCAGATTAGAGAAATGGAGCAATATCTGGAGGGGGATGTGAGTCAACAGTTTTCATGAGGATGATGATTATTTTTTTAATAGAAGCTATCATAGTATGTTTGATGAGATGATACAGGAGAGAGTGAAAACTGATGATGCAGATGGGAAGGGCAGTTGCTGGAGAAATATCCTTAGTAAACAAGAGCAGTAGTTTCAGTGCACAAGCACAGGGGTTGGCCTTATATTGGAGCTATCATAGTATGTTTGATGAGATGATACAGGAGAGAGTGAAAACTGATGATGCAGATGGGAAGGGCAGTTGCTGGAGAGATATCCTTAGTAAACAAGAGCAGTAGTTTCAGTGCACAAGCACAGGGGTTGGCCTTATATTGGTTTGTGAATTGATCCAAAATCCAGGAAGGCAAGCGGAGAATAGGGGCACAGATACAGTGTGATGGTGGGAGCTTGTGAGAAGTTTCTTCTGATTGCTTCTAATTTCTCCATGGAATGGAAATCCAGGTCATTAGCTTAGAGTGAGAATGGAGGAGAGGATATTGGACATTTGAGGAGAATTTAGAAGGTATGAAATAGTTGTCTAGGAGAAGAAAAGGAGTGAGCTAGGAAAATGTGCAACATGATGGCTGAATAGCCCCCGAGGTCGATTTGAAGTTCACGCTTGTGAATTTATAGGCTAGTCAGCACGGTAGGGTGTTTTCTCCAGCCAAGGCCAGCTATGTGGCTGAACAGAGTAGGCAGAGGGTTGGATTTAATCAAAGGAAAGTTTTAACCGTAAGAGAGTGGAGAGTGTCTGTGAGGGAGTGAGCAAGCCCAGGATTTAAACTGGTTAAAAGGTGAGTAAGGGCACAAGGCAGGAGGGCGTGAGTAAGTGAAGGAGGTAAAAGTAGACTGAGGGGTCCACAGACTGTGGTCCTCCTGGGGTGGAAGAATCGTGGAAGTGGGGTACTGGAGGGAGAGGACTAAGAACACAAGATGTGGTGTCAGACTGGCATGTTTAAGATTGAGACGAGGGAGAAGTGACAGTTGGAAATGACAAGGTCTGCTTCATGACAAGAGCGTCAGCAACTAAGATAGGGAGGGGGCCAAACATCACAGAGCAGGGGAGGTCAAGGAACTGAGATAGCGAGCTGTTGGAACGATCATCTGCCTACATAGTGACGCCAACAAGCATCACGGTGGGGGTAATGTTGGAGAGAGCAGCAGGGAGCCAGGAGCCAAGGGCTTTGAAGCAATGAGGGGGAAGAACCAGGCAGCAAGTAGGTAAGCGTGTTTGTGGGTGACATAGCCTGGGTGACATGACATTCAAAGATGAGATTTTTTTAAGATGGAGGGATGCAAAATAGCTTGGGAGAAGTAATGGGAGACTAGGGAAGGGAGCTACCCCACCTCCAGCCCATTGGTTTGGGGGGTGTGGAAAGCAACAGCTAACTCTTAAGAGGGTTGTAGAGAGAGCAGTGTCCTAAAGAGAGAGCCAAGGTTCAGTTACAGCAAGGAGGTGAGGCAGCGAGGACTGGCAGTAGAGTTCCAGAAGGTACAATGGAAAGATTTCAGGAATTGAGGAAAGGACGGGGTTAGGGTTAGAAAAAGGGTTTTACAGAACCAAGTGTTAATCTTTTGGGATTTTTTTCAGTGGGAAAGAAAAGGGAATTAACATTTGAGTATCTCCTGTCTATATGTCATGCTTACATATATGTTCTTAATTAATCTCCTTGACATTCCTGTAAAGTGAGTGTTCTCTTCTTAGATGAGGAGAGGGAATATTGGTAATGATAATCAGCCTGCTCAAGATCGCACGGCCGGTAATGGTGGGGCTTGGACTTAAAGCCAAGTTTGTCGGACTCCAGAGCCCGAGCTCTTGCACTGCACCTCATAACTGTAAAGTGAGTGTTCTCTTCTTAGATGAGGAGAGGGAATATTGGTAATGATAATCAGCCTGCTCAAGATCGCACGGCCGGTAATGGTGGGACTTGGACTTAAAGCCAAGTTTGTCGGACTCCAGAGCCCGAGCTCTTGCACTGCACCTCATAACCTTCTTCCCAGAAGGCCGTGGTGAGGCAAAAGTCGTTTCTTCTGGGATAAGCTCTCACTCTAGCACTTACGTACGCCCTGGAACAGTTGTATGTGAAGGTGGGACCCTTACCAGAGCTGCACCACTTTCATTTCCTCAAGGTGGGGAGTAACCCCTGGGTTTTTACCATCACCATTTTAGACTTTAGCACTGGTTGGGGGCTTAAAACAGGCATATCTCTCTACCACCCAGGAGTAAGCTTTTGAATTTCATATGTGTCTTCCTCCAGAAAGTAAGTTGTACAGATGTTTTATTTTCTTGTTTATTTTTAGCATTCCATTACCAATTTCATGTCCAAATCCTGTTAAGTATGTGGAGCCCAGTTTAGAAGATTTTGATTCTAATTCAAATTGCTAAGTATTTTTCTGATAGTGTGAATTTACCTTTCTCACCCCAATCTTGATATCTAGTAGAGAATTTGTGATATGGGGAAGGGTTCAAACAGCTTAAACTCTTTGACCCTTAATTGGTTACTTCATCTATAAAAGAGGGGAAATGATACTTAACCTCTCAAACTTATTCTGAGGATTAAATAAGATAATGTAAAAGCATCTAAGTATAGTCCCCAGCACATAAAAGGAGCTCAGTTTAAATTTGTTTAATAGACCTATGCTTATTTTGATAAAAATACTGCAGAAATGACCATCTAGTCTTTGTAAAAAGAAAATGTGCCATTTGATAATGTGTATTGGTATGCAGAGTTCGTATTATAGATTAGCTTGTCAAACTGGAAAATCTGTAAAATGGGTTAATATTGCAGTAAAAAGTTTTTACTCTAACTCATAATGTGATTAAGAGAAAAGTATTTTTATCGCAATTATCTAAATTCATTAAAAAATTTAATGAGGCATTCACTGCCTTGGGCAGGTTTGCATGAAATTTAATTTGTGTTAATTTACCCAAAATTTAGGAAGCAAGAAGTATTCTGTTTTTAGAATTTGATTCCATGAGAGAGAAACCAGTATTTTATAAGATGTTTCTATACATAGATTTAGATTCTTCTATCACCTGCTTCCTTCAGGCAGTCAAAAAACCTCACTCTGAGAATCATAAAAATTGGATTAATATCATGTGCTTACTGTCAACTTGGTGCTGACAGACTCTATAGACATCAGGAATTTTTATGAGATAAAGCGAGCTTACTGTCTCTGTATATTGAATATCTGTAAAGGAAAGAGTGATGGGAGTCAAGTCAGGTGATGGCCTGTGTTCAGATTCTGGCTTTGCTGGTTATTGAATACAGTGCCTTATTTTCTTCATCTGAAAAATGGGAATAATAATAACTTGTGGGGCTTTCACATTAATTGAATGAGGTAGTATATACAAAAATATTTTATATGTTATGTTAGTGAAAGGTTAAGGAATCATTATTATGCCTTATAGGGATTGAAAGAGGTTGTTAAAGATGGCACGATCGGATCCCTCACAGGGTGTTTCTAGGCCGTCTCCATCACTTTCCTTCTACCAGGCTGAAGGGCGTGCAGGCCTTTGTGAGAGAACTTTGCTCCTGGAAATGTCAAAGAATAGCTGGTAACTAAGCAGCACGATCGGATCCCTCACAGGGTGTTTCTAGGCCGTCTCCATCACTTTCCTTCTACCAGGCTGAAGGGTGTGCAGGCCTTTGTGAGAGAACTTTGCTCCTGGAAATGTCAAAGAATAGCTGGTAACTAAGCTACCTCTTCATAGATTCAGGATATGTTCCTGTTAAAGTGGATAGAAAGTTTCAACACTAATGTGTAGGGTCAATAAGAATTGTTCAAGTGATGACTGACCTGAAGCTATGAGTACAAATAGGTGAAAAGACCTTCCGGAACTTCCCTAACCCCAACATTTATAAATATATGGAGACTGAGGCTCAGAAAGGATAGTTACAATAACATTTCGAAATGAATTTCAGCTGTAATTTACTGTTCATGAAGATTGAGAAACACTTGGTGAATATTGCATCCATGAAAACACTGTTTAGTCATAGCTTCTGAGTTAAGTTGATCTTTAATTCCTGTATAGCAGTTATAATGCTTCCAGTGAAATGAAGAGACATAATAGTTCTGTCTCTCTGCTGAAGGAGAGACTGACTCTCACAAAGTGTCTGGTAAGTTTATTTGAACTAGGGTAACATTATGAAGGAATGATCTGGTGTGATCAGGCCTTGGCACCTGGTTGGATCTAGGATGAGTCAACGTGTCTGGTGTCTGTTATTCTGTTCAACTGCAAAGATCTTGCTGCTCTTAACCTCTCACTCCTCCAACTTCAGCTCCAGCCCTAGCCCCAGTTCCATCCCAGTGCCTCACGAGTAATGACATCTAAGATAATCCTTCCATAGTGATCCTTCCCTACAAGTTCAGCCACAGAAATAAGTAGACGTTTGCATGGATACCAAATAAATGTTTTGCTAAATCTGAATCTTTGGGACATAGTAGGTCCTTTCTCATCTGGATCTTTCCTTCACACAGTTGTTAAACCAAAGGGAAGATGACACAAACCTTGAGAGTGTCATTATAATATTTCTCATGCCACTAGTCTATTTTTTTTGTTAAGTGTTCTTGGAGATCTTCAAAAAATGATCTCACATGTAACTTTGTGGAATTAACTATAGCATTCATTCTCAATGCCAAGTATTATTTAACCTTCACTGTATTTCCCATGTTAAAAGAACCCTGCTTTTGTGTTGCAAAATCATCAATAGATTTCTTCATTTTATTGTTTAACCCCCAACCATAGCATCAGGGAGTTTTGTAAGACTTCTCCAGGGAACACCTTTGTCACATTTTGTCATTTGCTTAGAAAGTTAATCTGCCCCCCCCCCCTTGGAAGTGTGGGGAATGAATTCCAGTGCCACAGCAAAGAACATATATGTACATATTTCCCCTTGCTTTATTTTATTTTTTGAATCTATACAGGCAACAGCCCCAGATTCCAATCACCACAGGAACAGGTGTTGTGTATCCTGGTGCTATTACTATGGCAACGACCACACCATCGCCTCAGATGACATCTGACTGCTCTAGCACCTCGGCCAGCCCAGAGCCCAGCCTCCCAGTCATTCAGAGCACTTACGGCATGAAGACGGAAGGTGGAAGCCTAGCTGGAAACGAAGTGATTAATGGAGAGGATGAGATGGAAATGTATGACGACTATGAAGATGACCCCAAATCAGACTATAGCAGTGAAAATGAAGCCCCGGAGGCTGTCAGTGCCAACTGAGGAGTTTTTGTTTGCTAAATGAAAATACTCTGACATTTCACCCCCCTCCCTAACAAAAAGTTCTTAAAGAGCCCGCATGCATTTGTGGCTCCACAATTACATCAGCAGAATGGTCTTAATTGTTTCGTAAAGTGTGAGACAGATTAAGTTTTCCCTGATTTTTCATGAACTTGAGTTTTTTGTCGTTATTGTTATTGTTGTTGTTGTTGTTTTTATAATTTAGGTGAAGACTTATTAAATATGAGACACCAGGACTTGAAAACTTATCTCAACCCATAGCTGTCTTACAAGTCTTATATTTTTGTCTTATTTTTTTTTTTTTGGATGTTTGATAAAGGTTTAAGTTACTGTTTTAGATGGGGTTAAACATTCTCACTCAGGTATGCTGTGCCGGCCTACAGGTTGTGAATGTGTTTTTATTCTGAATTATTTTAGAAAACAACTGAGGATTTCATATTGTGAAACAGAACAAGTCCACAGCGTGTGCAGCTGCATGTAGAGCATATTCAAAAGGCCTCGGAATTCCATTTTTCCATGTGTAGAGTTAAATTTTGAATGTGCCAAACTTTTCGTAACTTTTGATTCTTAATATTTTGAAAGTCTTAAAGGAGACACTGCAAAGGCTTAGACAATCTTTGGCATCTTAAAATAAAATAGCAAACCACACATTTTTTTCCAGAAAATGATAAAGTACTCAGGAATCTGGAGACAAGATATTGTAAGGAATTAAAAAGGTTGCCACAGTGCATGTACCCATTTGTGTTTGCCTCTTGACGTGCCATCAGTGTGTGATGTGGTATGACGTCCACACACCAGAGCAATCCCCACACCAGATACCGACACGGTGGTCTTCTCTGCCTGAGACCACCTCTCACTACATCCATTTATCCCTTTGCCTTTAACCCTGACATTCAGTCTTAACACATTTTCTCTTAAATAATTTATTCATTCCAGAATGTCAAGGGTCCACTTACTATTTATTTTTTAAAATGTTGTTGGTGGCATTAATTTAATAATTCTTGTTTTTCAACCTCCTTCCCCGAAGAACTTTCAGCCCTTTCACCTCCTTCTCCTGCTAGATACAAAAGATGTACATAGTGATTTTATGTCCCCAGAGCATCTGGAAGCATTTCTGAAACAAGATACTATTAAATACCTATATTATTGTTTTTAAACATAAGTGTATATCTGTCTACAGGGCTGTGTATTTGGGTATAGGTGTATAGTCTTACACTCAAACAGGTATGCCCCTGAGGTTCACTGTGACCTCAAATATTTTACCAGAACTTCCCCCTAATTCACTTCAACAACAAGTGGTAGGATCTGCATCAGTGGCATTTCCCCCTGAAGTTCATTCACCAACAAGGGTCAGCAGTGGTGACTGCCAGGCAGGACAGTCCTGCAGCCAAACCTGAAGCCAAGGCATGCAGGCCGTGTAGGAGTCTACAGTGGAGCTGTCATGGGCTGGCACCTTTACACTGAGTTGCCTTGTCCCAGCTGGCACATCCAGGGAGTTCTTTGCAAAATCCCCAGGATGCAAGAAGCCACGTGACAGCCTCAAGGCAAAGATAGAGGCAAATAGTCATCATCCATCCAGAGAATGAAAACAAACCACAGGGAAGGAGAAGAGGTGAAAATACATTCCCTGTATGGGATGTTCCTATTGTTAACCCTGGGAACAGATAGCTCCTGAGGAAGCAGATGAGTTCCTCTAGCTGACTCCCTGTATCTGTGGCCGCCTGGGGGACATGCCTACGTGTGAAGAGGTGAACTGCACTTGTCACACAGGATTTCTCTGGAGACATGCTGCTGGGCTGGGAGGCAGTGAGGTTTCATGCCCCATCTCCTAACTATAGGGAGCTATGTCATGCCATTTTGATCTTCCTGAAACCAGGACTGGTTGCCTATGGGGAGGGCCGCATCCAGAGTGTTTCAATAGAAGAAAGTCAGTGAATGGGACAGTTCACCTCATGGGACAACCCAGAATCTGATCATCTGGACATAGGAATGGCCCCATCAGATTTCATGAGCCATTTTGTCACTTGGAAGAAAATAGTGTACCTTTATATTTATTTACAGAGTGCTCAAGGCCATACCTAACAGCAATAAATAGGTCTAGCCAAGATACTACCGGCTATGTCATTAGCTGGGAGTGCTCTCTATAAGCTGATTAAGGTACTTATAGGAATGTTTTGTTTTTAATATTGACTGGGGATTGGAACTTTGTTTTTGTACATTGATTTCAAATGAGGAGGAGGTCATTCTTCTAAAAAAAAATGAGTATTTATTATTGTCTTACTGATTTATTATTTGCCTCTCCTCAGTTCATTCTCATGTTTTTTTCTCTTTCTCTTTGGCTTTTGCTTTTGCTCTCTCCTTTTTTATTTTGTTGCATAGGTAGAGTGTTGTATGGCTAGCTTTGTATTGTATGTAATTAATTTTGCACAAAGGCAAACATTTAGCATAGTAGGTTAATTTTGTTTGTTTTTATGACCATGCCAAAATAATATTCTGGGCTGATGGAGAACAAAGGACTGTTCTTTAGGACTGAAACTTGATTTTGCTTGTAGTAAGAAAAAACAAAAAGCAAAAAACACACACACTCACAGATGTTGTTTCGTAAGTGTTATAAGCACTGGATATAAATGGTATTTTTTATCACTTCTGACTAATGTGAAACTGTTGTACGAAAACTACATGAACAAAAGTCATCTGTTTCGACTCGTGTGGGCTTGCCTCACAGTTGCCGGATTTGAGTCATTTTTATGTCTTGTTATTTCATTTATTTATGCAAAATACATGTGTGTATGAACACTTTGTTTTAGCTCCATCTCTGCCTCAGTACTGGGGTTCAGTGACTTCTAGCTGTGTTCTTAAAAACGAAAGGCTATGCAGGAATGATCTGATTGTAAACATCTCTTTCATTGGATCAAATAATAATGCTGTATTTGAATCTAAATTTTGTGCATAAGCAATTTATTCTATTTATTAGCCACATTTGGCTCTAAATATCCATGGAAATTAAGAATGACAATCATAGAGATCACTTCATTTTATTTTTTGTGGGGCTTAAACAAAGTTTTTAAGATGTTACCATCTCATTTTAGATTTTTCCAGTTGTGTAAATATAACATAGAAATAGGATTTATTTTTGGTTCATGAATACTTAGTGACATATAAGTTATGTATTTCCTTTTTGTTCTCTATCCATATCCGTTGGTCCAAACTAGAAGTTGACGAGTCACTGTAACTCATGGGAATAGAGAATTATCAGCTATAGTGAGAGAGCAGTGTCTGACCTGTAGCTGGGACAGCAAAACACTTCACTTGGGTTCTGATGCAGTTCAGAACTCACTGTCCACAGACTCAGACTTTTCCCTGTTTTTCTTATACAAAGTTAACCTGTAGCTGGGACAGCAAAACACTTCACTTGGGTTCTCATGCAGTTCAGAACTCACTGTCCACAGACTCAGACTTTTCCCTGTTTTTCTTATACAAAGTTGATGAATTGAACATACTAAATTTCCAATACAGCTGGGAGAAAGTCCATCTGCTTTGTGAATCCACATAAATCTTCTAAGATCTGTGACCATTTAATAGCAAGAAGCATGAATGCTATTATAAAGGCAAAAATCTGCATCTGTGGTTGGCCATTCATAAAAGTCCTGCCATGCCAGTTAGATTAAAGAATATTAAGCAACTTTTTTTTTTTAGTGCTCCCTGCTGCACAGTATCTTCAAATCAAAGATAAAAAATATTTCTACTTTGTTAAAGAATTTACAGGATCCAGGTTTTTCTTGTCACTCAGAACAAAGACACTGGCAGACAATCCTCTCCTAAAAAAATGGTCCATATGGAATAGGAAGGAAAGGAAGGAAGGGAGGGAGGGAGGAAGGAAGAACGTAAAGCTCAGTCTGCAGACATGAACAGCCAGGCTGGCAATTTCTCTATTTCATTGGCAGATGTGAGGCTGTGTCTTTTCTAGGAAGGTACGAAGCTTTGTTGTTTTTATGCGTATCCAGCTCAACCTTTTAGGAGCACATCAGTTTGCTTCCTCTTGTATTTGATACTCTCCAGCCCTGTCCTCAGGCCTGATTTGATTTGCCAGGGTCCTATAACCAATTCCCAGGCCAAATTCTAAATTCAGGTGTGGGCTCAAAGTGCTATTGAGCTGGTCAAATTCTAGCCTCCCATGAACATTAGCCCCACAGGACCCTGGGGTGTTTGAAAAGGGTGTGATCATGCTAGGGCTGAAATTAAAGGCTGCTTTCTTTTAGTTTTAAAGCCAAGCTGCTTCTTTGGAGCACACCCTCCTGAACCAGGAGCACAGGCACTAGCTGAAAGCAGGGATTGTTTCGGGGAAGCCCATCTACCCTTACTAGGAAGGCAGCCTGGTCACTCGAACACTGCAGCTGAGGTGCTTCTCTCAATTTACTCATTGTACAAAGAGTTGACCTCTATGAACTCATTAGGAAAAAGAAAAAGAATCACTTAGTAGTTTTAAACCATATGAGAAGTCCTGTACCAAGTGCCAACAATTGCAAAGAAATGCAGCTAGAGGAATGTACTGAAATTATTACTGGGTCTTCCTTTTTAATGAGAAAACAACAAAAGTGGTTACTCTACCCTTGCCTGGTTTTGTCCACATTTATCTAAGGATTGAGTTGGCACTTAAGCTCACTTCTCAAAGTATAATAATATCGTATGACCTCATTTGTCCTTTTACAAAAGCACTTGCATCATTTCCTGAAGTCACCTGCCCCCTGACATGTTTGCTTCCTTAATAAACAACTACTATCTGTTATTCCTGCCGATGATGCCATATACTATTCAGTGTGCCCTGTTTCTGATGCCATATACTATTCAGTATGCCCCTGTGCTAATATCATTGACAATATGCAAACACATTTCCTTTTCATCCCCATCCCATCTTTTCCTTTGGGAATGGATTGATTTCCTTCCAAAAGCTCATAAACAAATATTTGGAATGCTGGTAACTTTGGGGCAGAGGTAGGGGGTGGATGGGGTAGAGACAGGAAGGTGATGCTCAATGCTGATACTCCTAATCGGCGTCCGTGACAATATGAAAGCTTGAAGGCAACTCAGTGACATATCTTGCTCAGTAATTTCTTATTCCTGAAGAACCACAAGTGTAAAGTGAGGCCTCAGTGCTGGTGCTCTTGGAGTATGGGGAATGTGCAAATATTTAACTGTTTTGTATGCTGCACATTGCAGGTCTGCTCATGTGCATTCTCCGTTTGTCTTCCTTTGTCATATGTGTTTTTGCTTTTTTGAAAGTGCGGTCTTTATTGTACCTTTCTCCAGTTTGTAGCAAATTAGAATGCTTAGCATTTCTGTTCATTCATTATTGTATTTGCCATGTAAAATTTTTATTACCGTAGACAAGCTTATAAGCTGTTACTACATAACTTATCTTACTGTAACTCTTTTATTTCCCCACATTGTAATTTGTTTGTGATGTATATTGTGAGATTGTATTCTATGTTAATTTAATCAGCACAATTCACTGACATGCTGGACTGACATGCTGGCTGCTGTTTCAAAGTGTAAAGTTTGTGTAGGGCTGTTGGGACAACTGCGACTCTGTTGTCAAGGTACTGTGCTTTGGTTCCTATAGCAACACTGTGGGTGTGGTCCTTGAGACGCTAAGGGCATTGAATACACCCTAGAGCAAATTTTAACTGCAGATTTTCTTTGTAGAAATTCTATGTATAATGCAGGTACCTACTTGGCCCATGGCTGGTAACTATTTGGGCAATTAGAAAAAACAAAAAAAACATAAAAACTAGTGTCTATTGCTGCTTTGAATATGTTTGAAAGTCTGAAAATGTAAATAGTTTATCAAAAAAAAAAATCTTGTACAGTCCAGTGTAAAGTTTTTAAATGACCTTAAGGGTTGCCATCACATCTTTCTCACACTCTCCTCTCGATAATGAAAAAAAAGTTTGCTAAGGATTAAAGAAATGGAAAAAAAAAAAAAAGGAATCTCTTCAAATTTAAAGGAATGAATTGTTGTTCTTAGCTTTGTTGCTTACACATACTTCTTGGATTTTGTTGTGCAGTATTGACGTGAGATAAAACTCAACACTGAATAATTTTTCAGTTGTACTTTTCAAAGTCTTCCCCCTCCTCTGCCTCATAATTAAGGGAAAAGACAAAATTGAAAGACACTGGTCATCTACCTTCTCTTAGTCAACAAGTCATGGGGTGGGTA